TGGGCAAGATGTGCGAGAGAGTACCTACGCGGCGCAACGATTCTTCAGCGGTACTTTTACTTCGTTAATTAGCTTCTTGCAGAACGTTTCTTACGCTGACGCGCTCGGTCCGAGAACGCGAATAGAGGAATTGAAATTGTTTCAAGGAATGAAAACGGTATTATGCCTATAATATAGGAGATATATGATAATGTTCAAAATAGAGAAATATATGTGCATGAGATTATGCGACTTCCACTTCGAGAAAGTGTAGAATATACCCATATTCTATTAGCTTATAGGTACTTAGTTTTCAAAAATTTTACATATATACGTTGAATATTTCATGTGATAAACTTTTGTCTTAAAAAAAAAGTTGAAAATCAATATTAGCCAACGTCAGCAGTTTATTGTTAGCAGTACAGAAAAGCGCAATGGTGTAAAAGACAACGGCAGGGTATAAACAGAACTATAAAGATAAGATTTTTATAGTTACTTGTAGAAACCGCAGATTACCAGGGTTAGCACGACAAACGGTTTGTAGGTAAAGAACTGAATGCTGAAAAACAAAGTAATTGTTCGGCGGTAACGCATATTTTCAAGAGAGGACGACGGACATTCTTTTCACGAGAAGATAGAAACGCCTTTTTCAAAACGGCGAAATCGCTACATCGTGTCCGCGCGAGACGGAGAGGGAGTGAGGAGCAAACGTAAAAATATTACCGATCTCACAAATACCTTCTTGTTATCGGCGATAATGATACTAACCCGAAACCGGTATTAGCGCGACATTAGGCGCACGGGTGACCTCAAGAAGCGGTGCAGGTGGCCGATTAAGCATGGGAGTCTCCGACCTGTCCTATCTAATTTAAAAGATCGATCCGGTTCGCACGGCCCCGACGAATTTCCCATAATGCGCGCGCGCGATAATAGTTCTTACGTTAAATCTCGAGTAATCATCTCTTATTGTTCGCGGAGCGGAGTTAATTCGAGTACCACTATTGCGCCACTCTTTCGACACACTATTTTGGTTCCCCGATTTACAATTGACACATATTTAAATTAACGGCGAATAACAAAATGAGACAAACGAAATATATTAATATTTTTTTAAATATTGTACACTCTGTTTTATTGTTTTTTTTTTCCAATTCTTTATTGTTTTTTTTTTCTTTGGACTGACTTGTCGTCGATAAGCTTCATCTAACGCAACCATAAAGGGACAGGAAAGAAACCTGACAGAGGTTACCCGTGTACGTGTGTACCGTGCTATGTGCTGTCTCTCGAGGCGGTAACGGCAGACTTAACGGTATCCCATTCCAGCCCAATATTTATTCTTTTCGCCGGTAAACGCGACATTTCGTATCCGCGCGGTGCGATTCGACATTATGCGGAGCTGTAAAATCGATGTTGCGCACACGCAAATCGACGTGTCACGTGAAAGTGACACTATACCGCAAAAGAGTATGGATTGCTTTACGACAGCTGGTAATCGTGACGTGACGAGAGCGCACGCGATTCCGTATATCCGCGCGAGATAGTCCATAAATGTCAACCGTGAAATAATTCTCACGTTATCCGCGAGGCAAAAGATTAGCAAAACTTTAAATTGCGCTTTAAGAGTGTTACAATCTTTCGCGACTAATGATTCAAATCAACAATTGTTTTTACTATTTTTCAACTTTATTTCAAATATTATAATATAATGAATAGCATTATCCTGCTTTCAATTCAAGTGTTATAGTTCACTTTTCCATCTTTCGTGCCGTAAAGTTTACTCTCGCTTAAAATTCGACTTTCGACTTTCGCTTTTGTAAAAATTCAGCAGATAAACGGATTCTTATCTCGGTCGATCTTCGAAATAGCGATTCTCCGAGCAGCCTGAACTATAGTCTTCTGTTTTTGTTCTACTGCACAGGCAGCGATTTCGTGACACTTTCACGGTTTGTGCGGTTGGGCGAAAGTCAGGGAGTGATGAAACTCTATGCCGGATATACGTCTCGCGGTGTCGTTGCTCCCGCGCGCGCACACCCGATGACGTTAGTAGCTTCATGCAAATATCTTTCCTTGCGCAAAAGGGAAGCCCGATATAACGACGGTAAAACTCACGAAAGCTACGGGAGTGATGCGTCAGTCGATGACTCTTTCATTGGTGAAAAAGAATGTTCTTACGGCATCGAGCGTCAAGGGTATCGATATTGCGCAGTAAATTGATAACGATGCCAATTCGATATTTCAACGTTTTGAGAATATATTAGCTCATAATTCTATACATCATTGTTAATTATATGAGCGCGAAATGGATTGCAATATGTCAGTCATTAATATGTACGTGAAGAGACGCGCCGCGGAATCCAATATTAATGCTACAGAGTGTAAACGCTAATTAGCGAAAATACGTGAAATGCAATAATGGTCACATAGCTTTAATGACTTGCGCTTATCGAGTGTCGAAATGTGCGAAATTAAATCCATAAGATTTGCATAAATTTTCAGCGATGATTAAATATTTTTGACATACCGAAATGTCTGTTTTATACTCCAGTGGTTTTGAAATAATAAAATTAATGAAAGAAACAAGATATATCTATAAACTTTCTAAACTTTTGCGGTCTATTTATTAGAAACACAATTAATCGTAATATGCAAGACTAGCATGCCCCGTCGGGCTTCGCCCCGAAGAACATGTATTAAGGCACGCAAATAGTCTTTCTCTCTCCCCCTCCCCCTCCCCCTCCCGGAACCGATTTTCAAAAAGATCGGTAACAAAAAATAATACATTTTATAGCACTCCCCGGGAAATTCTACCCCTACTTCATGTATAATTCTTTGAGATTCAATCAATTATTTCCCGAAAAATTGAAAAAATTAAAAAAACCGGTTTTTAAAAAATCGGTAAAGAAAAATTATATGCTTTATAGCACTCCCCGGGAAATTCAACCCCTACTTTATGTACAATTCTTTGAAATTCGGTCATTCCAAACCGGTTTCCAAAAAAATCGGTAACAAAAAATAGTACACTCTATAGCACTCCCCGGGAAATTATACTCCTTCTTCATGTATAATTTTTTGAGATTCAATCAATTATTTCCCTAAAAATTGGAAAAATTAAAAAAACCGGTTTTCAAAAAGATCGGTAACAAAAACTGTACACATCATGGCACTCCCCATAAAATTCTACCACTACTTCTTTAAGATTCGGTCAATAAATTCCCAAAAAATTGAAAAAATTTCCGTACCGGTTTCCAAAAAGATCGGTAGCAAAAAATTATACACTTTATAGCACTCCCCGGAAAATTCTGCCCCTGTTTGATCTATAATTCTTTGAGATTCGGCCAATTATTTCCCGAAAAATTATAAAAATTAGAAAAACCGGTTTTCAGAAAATCGGTAACAAAAAACTATACACATAGTGGCACTCCTCGAAAAATTCTACCCCTATTTCATATACTTTTGGTAAAAATTCGGTTCAGGGGTTTGGGCTGGGCGTTGATGAGTGAGTCAGTGAGTGAGTCAGTGAGTCAGGACATCTTCTTTTATATATATAGATAATAATCAATATTTAAACAACGCATTTAGGAATTTAAAATAACTCGTGAATATTGAACACTTGCCTCGTGTAGACTACAAATCTGGTAAAAAGAGTGTTACACGTTTCCTCCGTTTGTCTCCGTTTGATATGGATACAGGTGGTGAGAGACGAATAGAGAAAATATGGGCCATATCACTTATTCGATTCCTACAATTTTATGCGGGTCTTAAAACTATATTGACAAATTTTGCGTATGCGTGTACGCGTTTCGTAACCGCGTAGCCAGCTTTTTAATCTGAAATGTAAAGACCTCCGAATGTTTCAATTCTTGAGAGGAGTGGTCTCGGTGCAATTATCTTTTTGCGTAGCTGTTTTCGTTGCGATGTGTAACGAAATATTAATTATAATATTAATTCAAGATATTAATTAATAAAATTCTGATTTAATATCTCTGTTTTGAATTCGCCATCCGTATGTGCTTTATAAGCGTGTATATATTCTGTGGATTGTGTGTGTGTGTGTGTGTGTGTGTAAATTCGCGAGCCTGATGATTTTACACAGGATGGGATTTACGTGGTATCGAAACCAGACGTGCAGTGGCACGACACGGATGCCGGAGCGCTTATCTCCTCCAGGTAGCATTGACGCGTACACCGCTGCGAAACCGGACGTATTTCTATTTACGCAGTCGCACCGTATTTGCATAAATTCTTGACATGCTCCTCGAAAAAAAATGGAAATCAATATTCATCATGCATAAGTATAATTATCCTGGCGGTACCCTCGTAGACGTTCACAGAACATTACGTCCAACGGGAAAGTGATAAAGTATTTCTTAATTACTTAATAGCCACGTGCGATTCGATGAAGCGTCTCGATTCTATAGCATTCTTGAGCCCGCCGAATTTTTCGGTGGAGGTCAAGATACCGGTTTCGAATATGCCGACACGCCGCTGGCTTAAAAACCTATCGGACAGGTTCGAGATACGTTTCAAGAGATCGCATTTTTTTGTAAATTATACTAATTATCTCGCGAGTAAATGACGTGACGCCGACATACTTAAGCTGAGCGTTAATGTCACCGTGACGACATTACATTGCGATCGTTGATATCTCCACCGAATCTTGCGCTCTGTCATAATTCTTTATAATGCGCACGAGTTAGGCGGGATGTATTAGTAACTAAATAGAAAATTTATCTCTCACTAACTATATTTTAAATTGTACTTTATTATTTTTTACAATCAATGGAATTATAATCATGGATCAAATTACACGCTCAAATATATATAATTTTGCTGCTCCGATTAATAAATAGAGACTCACAATTAAAATGAGATACAGTTAATATTTCGTTGAATTTTTTAATATAAATTCCATTACGCTTTAGGAGTCCATCGCATTTAACACAAATAACTCCATGTTTAATAGTTTCATCTCCACCTCCTGGCTCACTACCCTATCCCAACCTTTCCTCTCCCGGACTTACCGGACAGTGCAAGGATCGTCAAGGTCACGAGGACCTTCGACCCAACTGGTCCCGCCATGATCATCGACTGCTCTCGCAACCCCCGCGCTTTTCCTAGCAAGATCAAGGACTGCTAATGTCAAGGACGCGATGTCGCGTGGGATCCCTTCTTCAGGATTCCGCGCATCCGGATCGGTCGTCGTCGATTCGAAGCGAGCTGTGGTGCCTACCAATGTCCGCCATTTTGAATCACAAGCCTACACAACGAGCCGCTGGACATCGGGAGAGCCGACTTCACGGGCGATGCCTGCGGCACGCCATTCTTTCTTTTTCTCTCGCCCCTCTCTCTTTTTCTCCCTCCACCCCTTATCCTGCCACTCGTGGTGTTTCTTTTTTTCTCTTGTTCAGTCTCGCACTCTCGCACACGCCGGTTGACCTACTTGGCGGCGGATCAGACCGGTGTACACGTCAGGTTTTTGGCCAATGTGCCGCGCCGGACTTTAACTTAATATCCGATGAGATAGGAGCCCATTTTACAAAACTGACTGTATTCCGTTGTCATAAGATTTATTTTATCTTGCTATTTTGCTTTGAATTGCGCTTTAAAGAATTTTATTTTTTGTCAAAAATTCTTCTCAGACAACTTTCTTTTGATTCTCAAAGAGAAAACATTTTTTAATTACTACTCCAAAATAAATTGCTTATAAATTTTTCAAAATACAAGACTGTTTGACAATTATATTTAACAAGGTGGTTTCAGTAATAGGTATCGCTTCTTTTAGAAAACGTCGGTTAACTAATTTTTCAATTTCACGATTATGATGAAGTCGTGTAGGAATTTAAATATTTCACAGATTGATCAAAATATAAAGTACCTTTTATATTGAATAATATGACAAGGCAGTAAGTTTGCAAAATGATGGTCAAGATTTTGCAGGCAATGTTCACAATTCAATGCGGAATAACAAGTCAGTCAACAAATTAAATATCATTCAAACAACAAGGTTTTTTCAATGTTATATCTCACATTTAAAATACCTCGGTACAATATCCGAGCACTCGGTTCACACCAAAGACATCCGTAAGACACAATGAATACGGTTCACGAAGTATTTGGAGCAACACGAATTTCTTCTGGGGAACAAATCATCAATAACAGCGGGAGCTCGGTCCCCTTCGTTTTTTTTGTTCTGTCAAAATTCGAGCACGGAAAAGCGCACTGACGATCAGTCCACTTCCGTCAACTAGCAGCCACTGGTTATCCCGAAACTCCGGAGTTCCAGCGCGAAAAAAAAACTCAAGGTCCTTGAGCGTGCACCATCCGAGGTTCACTTCACGGTCGTTCACACGAGACTGGCTCAGGCTGAGGACGGTCATACACGGTTTCTCCCACTTTAACTATGCCATAACTATGGGTAGTGTGGGTACACTGTACACCGCCGAGTATGTACGTCACGTCTTCTTGGCTGACTTCCACCATGCCGTGGCTCTCTACCACTATTCCCGCTCTCTAAAGCAGTCCTTTTCCCCATCCCCACTCCCATGAATCTTTCTCTCTTTCTCCCAACATTTTCTGCGGCGAAGCGTGTCTACCTGCACGGCTGGTATAGTCGTATAGTACTATATAACTTCTACCCATGGTATGCGTATCCAGTTTTCTGAACCGAAACTGGTATATGCTTTCGACGATGAGAAACGGAAAACTGAAATCGAAAGCCAAAGTGGGACTGAACCCTTCAAATCTGAGAATACATCTTTTCATCATTTTAAACTGATATATTTTAAGCTATATCACATTCTTCTCTCTTAAAAAATTTTTAGATGCAATAAAACTTGAAAACCACAAGACTGAGACTCTAAAATTTTACGATGGAAATCAAAATTAGCTGACGCTCTTTTTTTTAAAGTTCAGGAAATTAGAGTATCTTGTGATAGGAAAAGTCTTAATAAATAACCGCTATCAAAAAGTTTTATAAAGTATTTGTGAATAACTATTTTAAATAAGACTACGAAAAGTAAACTGTACCGAGTATTTCTCGTGTTTCACGCTATTCACACTAAATAACATGTTTAGCGCTAGGCGGAATTGCCTGGTTTCTACCTCGTTTTTCGAGACTTTCTAGTTTTACTCATTTAACATGTAAAATTATAGTTACGATGTGATAAACTGGATAATTATTACTGAATATTTTGTTGGGAAAGATCTCAGGCATCTTTCAGAAGACCTTTATTGTTAATACATGTTATTGTTTAATAAAAACATACTTCATTAATAGAACAAGATTTAAAAGTGAGAACAATAAAGCTTTTACTATACTTTCACATTCAAGTCAGTTATAACTAAAAAATAATAACAGTGATAATAAAATGGAATTATATGATATTATCAATTATTTCAATCGTATAGTTTTAATTACATAATTGTCAACACTGAACTATTTTTCTCATTAAGAGCTGCCAAGAGCTGCTAAGTGTACACTATTATATCTATCCGCTCAGTAACTTCTGCTGTGCTATGTTCCATACTTACAGTAAAACTGATTATTTCAATAGTGTTTGTGATTGTAAAAGACGATAGAGTACGTAACACTTACGATCTATTCTGAAATACTATTCCGATAATTACTATGCTTTATTAACAATAATTCTTTACAATTTATGTTAATTTTGCAATGTGCCATCTGTTCTTTATTAGCAAATTCTTTTGAAGCATTACAAATTACACAAAATGGAATAAAATGTTACGAAAAATGGAAATAAGAAACAATGTACTGCAATTTAAGATTATTATCTTCAGAAATGTCGTTAAAATTCTACTTCATGTACAATCAAGTAATTGTAAGTAATTGTGTAACGTGCGCAAAGTCGCGCACATATATAGTTAACGGGACTTCGATGCATCGTGAGCATGGGAGCCTCAATTGCATCAAAATGTCATTAATGTTACTTCCTTCCCAAGTTGTTACAAAAATTGAAATTTTATGTAAGCCTCTGCGTATTTTTCTTTCTTTTTTGTTTAACTTTTTTAACAAAAAGTGCGAAGTACAGTAATATACAGAATAATAATTTATAAAATATTAAATCTCTATTATTGAGAAGAAAGTAAAGCTCTAATTCTAACACTAAATTTTAACGCTTAAAATGCACGTAATTAATGTAATAAACTGAGGAATAAACATATGGTACATGTTACATTCCAAAGAAAATTTGATCAAAATTTTACTCTATGCAGTTTATTATTTATTGTAGCTTGATTTATATATTTTAAAAAAGAAAAATAAAGAGTTTTTAACATTTTTCTTTTTTGCTGAAAAATTAAACAATTAAAACGTACATTAACGTATTTTTACGAATAATGGAACACGTTTTAACACTTTTAAACAAATTAATACAGCTTAAATCGTATTGTAGAATCTACTTCTCATTTTACCGCTGCTCAAAATGTAGCGAGTGCACGGGATCCGTGTGCATTTTGCTTTATTAATGAATATAACGTAAACTGAGAAGTGGTCAGTGCAACATAACTGAATCTCGCAAGTACATTGCATCTCGCACGCACAGGCATATTTTTCTGCATTCAGTAAATACAAGATGTACCGATGCCTTACTATTTCTCCCGTTGTTATGATAAATCGCGTGCTCATACTCGTTACCTCATCTCTTTACGCTTCAAACAAACGTCCGTGTTACAATCGTGCATGATTACTGTCACGAAGTATCGTATCATGTAAATTGATCAACATTAACGTAAATTTGTAATTTAAATAATAAATAATTTAATAATTTTGTCTCATTATATATATATAAAGTTATTTATTATTTAACAATTACTTATCAAATAACTAATTAATTTAATATTTATATTATGATTAATTATTCATTTCTATTTTAAAACACTAAATACGTAATTTCTAAATAAATATTTAAACCATTTAGATAATTGTACAAATATAATTAGAATTTGTATATTTTTAGATAATGACTAGCTGGTTACCCGGGCTTCGCCCGGGCGTCGTTTTTCTTCAAACGACTTCAATTGTGTTTCAATATTCTTATTCCGGCTTCCAAAGAATCGGTAACGAAAAATTATACACTTTATAGCACTCCCCAAAAATTAATTTGGCAATTAAACCCATTCTCGAACAATTAATAAAATTTTTGAACCGGTTTTAACTAAATCGATAAATCGGTAGATTAATGTAAAATTAAATCATTAAAATTTTTGAACCTGTTTCAACAAAAGCGAACCGGTTTTAACTAAATCAATAAATCGGTAGATTAATGTAAAATTAAATTATTCCGGCTTCCAAAAAATTGGTAACGAAAAATTATACACTTTATAGCACTCTCCGGAAAATTCTACTCCTGTTTCATATATAATTCTTTAAGATTCGGACAATTATTTCCCGAAAAATTAAAAAAATTAGAAAAATCGGTTTCCAGAAAATCGATGACAAAAAACTATACACATGGCACTCCCCGGAAAATTCTACCTCTATTTTATATATACCACTTTAAATTATACACTTTATGGCATTCCGCGGGAAATTCTACCCCTGTTTTATATAGGTACAATTCTTTAATTTCGGTCAATTATTTCCCGAAAAATTTCGGATACCGGTTCCAAAAAAGATCGGTAACGAAAAACTATACAGTTTATAGCATTCCCCGGGAAATTCTAACCCCTGTTTTATATACAATTCTTTAAGATTTGGTCAATTATTTCCCGAAAAATTGGAAAAATTTCTGATATCGGTTTCCAAAAAGATCGGTAACGAAAAATTATACACTTTATGGCACTCCCCGGGAAATGTTACCCTTGTTTTATATACAATTCTTTAAAACTCAGTCAATTATTCCCCGAAAAATTGGAAAAATTTCGGATATTGGTTCCCAAAAAGATTGATAATGAAAAACTATACACTCTATAGCACTTCCCGGAAAATTCTACCCTTATTTTATATACTTTTGGTAAAAATTCGGTCCAATAGTTTTAAGTTAAAAACGTTCAAACATACACCACCCGTAAGAATTTTATATATTAGTATAGATTAATATAGATAAGATTAAAGCATTGCTCTTTCTCTTTATTTCTTTTCTCAAGCATTGCTCTTTCTCCATTTATTTCTTAAATTTTCAAATCGAGTTTCGATAAAATAAGCTTC